TGTTGTAAATTTTTAACAAACGCACCTGAATAGTTTATGAGACTAATAGGTATAATGATGTGTTAAAACAAACAAGAAAACAGATAACTTGTTGAAATATCCAGATGGCAGGAACAGGTAGCCCAGATATTCAAGCAGGCCGCCTGTTGTTTTTTCATTCTAAATTTTGTATTTCTGAAACAGGTGCAAAAATGATTTTACAAAAGGTTTGTTATCGTTGGGAACAAAAGAGTACATATCTTCAACTTAGTGTGGAAAACATTTCAGTAACACACAGCATTATGAAACGACTATCTTGAAATTCTTAACTTAACGATCTAAAGTCATTTCCTTTCCTTGAAAAATCTTTTACATGGATTCAAAATTTTTTATCTTTTTCTAAACGACACATTTCCACATAATATTCTACGTAAATTAGCAATACAACAGTACAGGGAGAAATAATACAAATCAGAAATTAGCCATACAATAATTGAATCATGAAATAGATAGGTTTGTATATTTTTATATGATGCACACATATACACATAACTAATACGAGGTGCTTGTCGACCAAGGCAAGGAACGATTAATAACCATATCCTTTTGAATCTTACAGGAAATGTTTAACTCCGTAAAATGCCGTTTGCCTCAAAATGAACATATGTTTGACAAAACCAAAACATTGAATTTTATAAATAGGAAATAGTAAGGATATTAACAGACACAAAGAACAGATTAATAAAATACATTGAATAAACATATGTATATCATACTATTGGTACTACTTTCATTACTTTTATTCATAAGTTCGAGACGGTGATATTGTTTTTTTTCAAGAAACAAAGTTCGGATCCAGACAACGATAATGATTGTCATTTTTGCATCAAGGAAGACAGTTTTGCATTGAATAATAATAATGATAAATTATTCAGTGTTAAGAACATAAAAGTGCAACTTATTTATTTATGTTCATATTTATTCTTTTACAACACAATAAATTATTGGAAAATTATAGTTGCCTTGATGAATAGATAAACAGTTGGATCAATCGATAGAAAGAAAGACGTCACATGGAACCCGTCGTTAGTTTTAAAATTATAAAATGGTTAGAAATATTAGTAGATAGTAGTGAATTTTAAAAAATTCAGGATTTTAGAGATATAGATGATACATTTAATCATGTCATTCACTACTAGAATTTATATTAATGAACAATATGCTACTGAACTGATTGAAATAACAAACTGCACTTGATTAGAACAAATCAAATACAACAAAATTTGAAATAAATAAAACTACAATGAAACTTTGAAAAAAAACTGTAGGGTATTGGTAGAAATTCAAATGATAAATTTCATAGATCACTGACCGAAAGATGCATTAAATTGTTTAACGACTGATTAGGAAGAAGTATATTAGATGGTGAGGTGAATATAGTTAGTTCAATTTATATAAATAAATAAACCATGAAATTCTTCAAATTAGCTATTATTAATGTTGTTTTTTATATTGTTGAACAGCTGATGAGTCCCATACTAGGAAGAAACGGCCGTCCAGTGCTTCCACGTTTACAGTGGTGGTTTAGCTTAGATCGACTCGTGAATCCAACTTTGAAAATACTACGATCTCCACAAATTTCCGTATTCAACTTATTACTTATTACCATTTGCACTTTTTGGGAGTCTTTTTTACTGTAAATCAATACATCATTTAAAGAAACAATCAGAATTCATTGGCTAGTTAGGAATTATTCCACAGCGTAAGTTCATTATACAACTGTAAACCTAATTCAAAATCATAGCTGAAGCACTGTGCTAACCACTGAATATTATTTACTTCATACGTTATAGATTCCAATATAAGCTTTGAGCAGTCTACTTTTAAGCTAAACACTAATCAGTATATGACTATTAAATTTTCATTAAATTAGTCATTAGATAGTGTTACTTATTACCAATGATCGCTCAGTTCACTCTGGTTTCCAGTGATGTTAATCAATCCACGACATTGCGCGACCAACTTTATTTATTTATTTAAACACATAAACATTGGTACAAGAGGCACCAAATACATATGCATCACGTAAATCATTCAGTTTGTGTGACGGCTAGGATATTGCCCGGGTGGCCAGACCAATGCAGGTGGTTTTCTTAGGGGACCACACCCGGAGCCTTCGACCTAAAAGTCCGATCCACAAGGCAGTGGAACAACGTCAGGATATGCAGTCCCATGGTGTTCGGTGACCAACGACTGGTTCATATGCCATTTGTTCCTTTAGGATACATGAGCCCATGTGCACTATTGGTTCGAAATCAGGGATTTCCAACTCCGCTAGGTTGACTCTCTGTGTCCTCTCAATTTCGTAAACAACAGTAGTGCCGCGAGAAGGCAGTGAGTAGGACTTCCCAAGCAATGGCTGTATATGTGTGGCTATATGAGAGCATTTCGAGAGGAAGAGCTAAATCTCCCCAATCTCGGCCGTACCAGGGCATGTGGGGGCTTGGCGGCCTCGCCGCTATGATCTTCCACTGTACTGTGGTATTTACCTGTCTCTACCTGACACAGATTAGCTTCACTGGTTATGGCCTCCAAGAGTTACCTCTCGAATCTAGTCACTAATGCTTCCAGGTTCCAATGATGGTCTAACACCAATTAATTCATGATACCAATCAAAACTCAACAGTTTTCACAACCCTTTACTGACAGCATAATGTGTAAAGTGGAAACAGGATTGAAAAAATGAGACAATAAAAATTAAGTATACAAAATAGAAAACATAAAATCTAAAACCTGTAACATTCAAATATGAAATGACTAGAACAGAAACATTCAACTTTATTACACTTTACAAGAACAATGATAAATTTGACTATTCGGCACACAAGACTGTATCATATTATAATCCTTTAGTCTCACTTTAAAGCATACAACAATAAAAGTTTTAATGCATGAAAATGCTTAAAAATGTAGTAAATTTTTCGTCACATTTGTGTAAAACTTCTTTTTACTAATTGAATTCACACGTTGTTGTTGCCTTACAGATAGATGATAGATAACAAAACAAAAACTGGAATTTTCGTAGCGATATTTGACAGTTGTTATGTGGTCAGAATTTACAATCCTCTTTGATTATACATCATAACACACTCGTGATTGTTAAGATTTATTTGAGACTAACATATAATATGGTGCATTTATTCTTTCCTCACAAGAATCATGAGAAATATTATTTATAACCGTTTATAATGGTCGGTAATGCTTTATTCTAAAAGAATTCCAACAGAATACTAGGAATATTTAAACTTCAAGCAGGAATTCAAAATTATTTCACGCTAGAAAAAACTTCCTTTTCTTAATGACTGATTCAAAAGACCATGCATAATTTGTTAATTAAGTTTCTTTATGATTGAGTACTTGAAGTTAGTGAAAAATATAAAAATGTCTTAACAAGTATATGTGTGATCAGATTGTTCGAAATGTATTGCGTAAATATATCACATAATTCTGATAAACTCCATCTTCTCATTGCATTATCGAAATTAAAACTATATTATTGGTCTTTATCTGTATCGAATTATTCAGTTGGTGTCGAATTATCTAGTTTTTTCTTTCTTTCTACTAAATCATAGTTCTAATGAATAAAACAATTCCTCGGTGACCTCTCTGCGATTCCTATTCCAATTATTACTATGTGATCGGTTACTTTCTCTTATAATTTGCTACTTTGTTATATGGTATATAGTAACTTACTCTGAGCCCTTAGTTTTATTATTACTGTAACCATATATCACCTAAAAAAGTCGATGAAGCTTATAAGAGCAAAAGATTATGGCTTTTTAACAACGACATTATTCATAACTATTTGTAAATGATACATAATAAAACAAATGAATATCGTGTTACGAATATGTGATGAATATGGGATCTTCTGTCTAATGTGTAAATCAGAATTAAAACAAAATCCCAAGTTCTTCGAAAATAACTTAAGGTAAACAAACAGTGTTAGCTATTACGGAGAGTGATTAAGTGTTGGTATGTGTTAGTGAGGTATACAAATATATGTTAGTCTTTAACAGGAAGTGTTAGAAATCAGCCACTACAAGTTGGCAAGAACAGTTATTTTTTTAAAATATAACTTTTATTAACAATGACTGAATAGTGGTCAATTTATATATCGGACCGACTAAAGTTGGGGAATATCGGCTACCGAAGTTCAACTCAGTGGCTGAAAAATATCATAATTACTATGAAAGTCAACTAGTCGTAGAACAAACGTCGTATCGGGTTTGCGAGTGTATACCGTTAAAAAGTTTCAGACCAATATCAAATAAATATTTGGTCCCCTGTAATTTTATATACTTCGCCAGATGATCCTAGTTCTTGATGAAAACTACCCCTTATATTACTCAAGTCAAACATTATTTAGAAACTTGTTATCGCATAGTTAGACCATTTACAGTAATTTTATAACGCTATTGACGTGAACGACTTAAATCTGTTAGGAAGAGGCTTTAAAGAAATTGTGGAAATCAGACAACTATTGAACGGGGTGAAACTAGTTTGCGAATTTTCTATTACCAAACAGCTAATTCAAGTTATTTTATATCATCACCATTGGCTGATTAACTGTTACAAAATATTTTAACGTTCTTAACTGACAGTTACTTTGTTATAAATCGATTTCAGATGTCCTAGTCTTCTGTACTTATAGAAATTTATTCTTTATGGAGAGCTGTTATCTTGCACTTTATACATGTAATCATGTGAGATCCTGAATCTGATGATACGGACCAATACTAAGTATGCAAGGTATCCGGCTGGATTTCCCAGTATTTTGATTGGTAGTTTCTGAACAGATAAATTTTGAGTGAGCGATTGATCGCCGGCATATAGAATGTATCATAGTGAGTGAAAAGTATTATTGGCGTAGGTGAAAATAACAATCTAACTACTGAGTGATTAATATACTTTTTTGTATTTCAAAAGAATAGATAAATCGTTTCTGTGAATAAACTTACATAAGCAGGAGATGATCCTGATACTCCAACAGCTGCATTAAATAAAGATTCTGGGATAGCTTCAAATACAGGAAAGATTGATGAACATAAGGCAGAAATCAAATTAATATCTTCTTCAGTAACAGAAGATGTATGTGCATACACTGCAGTACCAACACCGACCAGACACGGTGTATTAGGCATAATACGGATAATTCGAGTAGATTTCGGCACAACCTATAAAGCATATCAATATAACCAGATTTATGAGATGCAATATAATGAACGTGTATTTTAGGAATTAAAATCAATTATTTAATATATATATAACTTTGTCAATAACTGCAATATTTAGAACTATGATAAATGTTACTTAAATTAATATTTTACTGTACAAAACAATTTAGAATTCCAGATAAATAATTAGATTTTTCATTCAACTTCTCTTACATAACTACCAAACGCAGATATTAAAGTTGGTAATAAAAACCGTTTATGAGTGTAAAAAAACGCAAGAAAAGGATGTAGAAATACATGACAAAACGTAATAAGAAAAACAAGTATATTTTTCACAGTTTTTAGAGAAGTAAAAGAGGGAAAACACTTTTTTCGTTAGATTTCACGATAAAAAACTGGGCTAAATAAAATTGGCTGTTAAGAGCTATGTGAAAAGAATTAACTAACAAGAAACAATACAGCTTTAAATTAGAAGAGGGAATGATAGGTTAGTGTAGTTGTCAGCAGTAAGTATCCGATAAACATGGATAAACAAAATTACTATCGTACTAATTATTCTACAACATTTATTTCTACCCTTCATCAATTATTTGTGATCTGACGAGTAACTAATTCACACTAATTTAACTGATTATTCGAAATATGAATAAATACATTAATTCTGTAATGTGTTCAGTCAGTCGACTAATGGTTCTGTTCTTTTTTTAAATCCACTCATTTTGAATTTCGGGGTTGATTGAGTTTATAAATGACTAATTAGAACAACGTATCTGCAATGCTTTTATTAATTCGATTGCACCATCATAAATCGTCAAATAAGTTTATTAGATTCAAAGATATAAAATCAAGTTGAAGAAAGTCACTATAAGGATAAAGGGAATTACAGTTTTTGAGGGCAGCATCGTTGCAAATTCTTCCGTTTTATGCTGACGCATTTGGTATCTTTAATGATATCTTTTGACAAGCCTGAATAATTATTCAGAAATTATGTTACCTCGAGATAGGTATATATATATATATATATATATATATATGCACAAAGATAAAGGCCAAGAACTTTCGATCTAAATACGATGCGCTACAAGCAAGAGGATATTTTAAGACTTTTCTAAATTAAAAGATATGAAACGGTCATAACATTCACCAAGCTGATGAGAACTTGAACAAGCATTGATTGAGATAGTACGACAATGGATACCTAGCCATTACTTGTGTTCGACATGTAAGAATATGGGTAGTTCTGAAGTAAAAAAATAAAAGAGCTCAAGTAAGTGAAAGATTTATAACCACATGAACCACTTAGTTTATTAAACTTAGCCATTCCGAATATTATTAAACAATCCCCGTTCTCCATGAATAACTAAAAAAGATAGACAGCCGTAAATCAAGGGTTTCTTCAAAAGACCTTAGTTTGTGCCAGGTACCGTTCTTTAAAACTGTGAGTTAATAGCAATATGTCCTCAACATATGTAAGATTTAGCGATAATAATTATCAAGTCTTACTATTCTTAAGCAAATTTCAAATGTGATTCTTGGCTGATCTAATGAACATTATACCGATTGAATGTTGGTGAATATGACTTAGTTTTTCCTATTTTACAGTGAAATTTCATTGATTACCTTCCCACCATAACGAATGCATCAGTTAAGTTGAAAAAGAATACTGTAAACTGTGATAATCATCCGATAGTAGATAATAATATAATCCCATGCTAAGCACTTCAAAATATATAACAATGAACCTTAACGATTATGTAGTGTATGCTACTTATGTCGACCGACATAAGCAGTATGTAGCACCAATCGGAAATGGAAAACCTGGCGGCATAAGGCGTGACTTGAAGTGAACAGGAACGGAATTGGAAAAGAATTATGAATCGCAAGAATCATACAGAATATGAAAGACAAATAATGGAAATTTACCAATGAACTGTTTAATATATGGTTTTCATATTTTATTAAAACATTCTGTAATTTTATATTAGAATATAATTAATCGTTCCCCCCCCCCTCCAACTATAGTCTAGACCATAACAACTATACAAATTTAGGTATTAAAAATTATATGAATTCATTTATTATTTTGGCTTTCATATACTTTATTCAAAATCAATAGTTTTCTAATATGATGTAAATGATGCATTATGAATAACATATAATCTATGTTATAAATAATAATCACATGAAAATTGTTCATTAATACAACTAAATATTTGAAAAAAAATTTTTGGTTATTACTATCATTATTATTACATATTATTAATTAAAGTACATTTATTATGTAATAATATTTTTTTTATTTTTAAAAAAAATAATTATTACTAACTATTATTTTATTAATTACATGTTAAAGATGAATGCGAACTAAATCTAATTAATGGGTACCTTTTTGTTTTAGCTAGACACATTTACAAGAAACCTAGTTGGTAAATTGATTTTTTCCATAGTATTCTGAACATTGTACATAAATATATATATATATATATATATATATATATATATATATATATATATATATATATATATATATATATATAAGCAAATGAAGCTTGTTTTAGTGAATAAAGTTAATGGACAAAAAAATCAGTCCCAATTTATTCCCCTAATATATATCATCATGATGGAAATATATGTACATATGCATTTAAGTAACCAGTTTAATGTTCAACAATGTCATTAATATCACGTTAAAAAGTTAGCCTAGTTTTAATTTAACTCCAATTGATGATTTCGGAAACAAAATGTCACTGCCACTGAGAAACAATTAAGCTCGTGATCTGGTGATCGGGCAGTCAGTAGTCATAATTCATAGTACAGTTTACAGACAACTAGATCATTTGATTATCTATATTTTCAACAAAAAAATATTTAATTGAACTAGTGGTCTTTATAAACCATTCAAATAAATACCACACTTCATTTTTCATCAGCATAATAATTGATGTTAGTGATATCAGATACTTGGAAATAATCAACAGGAAAACTAATGACAAGGTATACAAAATGTTTCTGATTAAAAATCAGTGGAAATAGATTGATCGCTGAGTAACCCCTGTTACTTCAGGCTACATACCAAGTCTAAACTTTGATTACTTGATTATTTATAAACTGCAGAACGATAACTTGAAGAAATCGGTGATCTGACAGCTTTTTCTATCCTAATGTAATCGATTATTTTTTGGTATTAGGATTGTTGAGATTACTTACTTACTTACTTACGCCTGTTACTCTCAATGGAGCATAGGCCGCCGACCAGCATTCTCCAACCCACTCTGTCCTAGGCCTTCTTTTCAAGTTCCATCCAATTCTTGTTCATTTTTCTCATATCTATCTCCATTTCTCGGCGCAATGTATTCTTTGGTCTTCCTCTCCTCCTTCGACCTTGTGGATTCCATGTGAGGGCTTGTCTTGTGACGCAGTTCGGTGCTTTCCTCAATGTGTGTCCTATCCACTTCCAGCGCTTCTTCCTGATTTCTTCCTCCACTGGAATATGATTTGTTCTCTCCCACAGTAGGTTGTTGCTTATAGTGTCCGGCCAGCGGATCTGAAGTATTTTGCGTAGACAACTGTTAATAAACACATGTATCTTTTGGACGATGGATTTCGTAGTTTTCCAGGTTTCCGCCCCATACAGTAGAACTGTCTTGACATTTGTATTGAAAATTCTGACTTTGGTGTTGGTTGCCAATTGTTTTGAGTTCCAGATATTCTTCAGTTGTAAATATGCTGCTCTTGCTTTGCCAATCCGTGCCTTCACATCCGCATCAGATCAATGCAACTCCTTGTGTATGTGGAGCATTTTCTTCTTCATGTCCGGAGTATAACAGCAGCTCCCCTGAAGCTAGTCGTTGTTGTCCAACTTGCGTCCAATGTGTTTCACTGATCCCAAGCACCTCTAAATTGTATCTCCTCATTTCTGCAGCAATTTGGTAAGCTCTCCCAGTCTCCCACATAGTGCGAGCATTCCATGTACCGAAATAAATGGTTGCTCTGGTTGTCAGAAGGAGCATCGGCCTCGTGACTTCCGAAGAAACTCGGCTTTCATCATGAGGCGTCATAATTCTTCTAAACGAAGACCTCCTGACTCCCAGGACAGAGTTTAAATGGTTTGAATAATTTTTTCTGGTTAGCGTTTTTTTAGCGAGTTAATTTTCTACGGGATGGGATCGCTAACCCCATGCCCAACCCTCCTCCTTTATCCGGGCTTGGGACCGGCAGTAGCCCCCGGGAAGGGACTCCAGGCGGAGTTTTGTTGAGATTAGCATGGCTTAATGAGATGAATAAACGAAACAATTATTTACACATCAAAATCTACAGAATATTGGATATATATTGGTCAAGTGAATGAGTTATTCAGATCGTGTTGACGCAGATGCATTTCCATTGAATTTCAAATATATTATTAACTCTACGCCTGTTTTCTCTCTTTCTATCGGTTTCTCCTTATTTCTTATGGTTGCAAATTTGAAAATGTAAACCCTGATATAAGGTTTCACGGTGTCCTATCTATCTGTTTACCCATGTAACGATGTATTAAAAGTGGACAAAGGTAGAGTAATAGTTTAGCAAGTTAAGGACTTAGCTTTCAACTAATAGGCTGATTTTTGTTCTAGCTGTCACTAACCATAACACCATATGTTCACTACATAAATCTATAGTCAAAAGATGAGACACACTATTATTATACAAGGAATGTAATATGTAAAGTATGACAACTACAAGTCATCTAGATTGGAATTTTTTGAAATCTTACCTGTTGTATCTGATCTAGTGTAATCCCTGCAGCAACAGAAACCAAAAGTTTATCATTTAAACGACCGGATAGACTTTTTAGAGCTGGTAGTAATATGTGTGGTTTAACGCAGGCGAACACGACATCACTTTTCTCAACCATTGTTTCATTTGTTTGCAGATATTCCACTCCATATTTCTACTCGAAAAAGATAAGACAATTCAATAGCATAAGTAAACTGTTATCCAGTAAGATTAATTTCGCCATCATGACGAAAGTTATCAACTGTTTACTGAATACATTAGGCCGGCAAAAATCAGTCCCGATATGCAACAGACAGTAGATACGATGAGCTACACATAAAAGTTGTCCACATCGAACAGTTTATTTGAATGAAAAGCGGGACATACGTTCAAAGACTGAAGAGCGATGTATTCAGAAAATCCAGAAGAATTAAATGTCTCCAGGTAGCTTAGCAAATAAAATGCAAGTGTGGGTAAGTTAAGATCGGTGAATTATTCATATGACCAAAGTCATTAACCACATTTCCCTGTTCTGGTCACGCTGGTTACCTACAAATAGTCACGATTTGTATGTACTTAGATATCAAACTTTGATAATACGGTTTCTTACAGTCTTGTCTTTTTCCTTTGTCTAGTTGGATTAGTCAACAGTCAGGAATATCATTAACGGATGAACGGAAAATAAAATCATACATCACAAAATAAACTAGTCTTTTAAAAGTCAGCTGTTTATTTTCCATATAAACAACTCAACCTCGAAGTACCATTTCATTGTTTCTTTTTTATACTTATTAAAAAAGCAACTAACAGAGAGACTGAAATGGAATATATCGTACTCCTCAACTTTTCATAGAACTGAAAACTACCTAGTACGTTATTTTAAATGACGTATTTGTTGACTTATAGTTTACAATTTATGTCCATATAAGCATTGTGTAGTGAACCCTTCATGAATAAAAAGCTTCCCTCAAATAACATCAAATGATGTTATACCAAAGAAACATTCAATAAAGTGATTCGAAAGGAAACAGGTTATCCAATTCACAGAAATCCACGTAATAAATATACACGTTTTGTAAATAGGTATAACTTTTATACACAATGATCGTGTAACTATAAAATCCAACTATATATTCTGCATTGTTGTGAAAAGTTAGTTTTCGAACAGTCAGATATCTTCAGTGTACTTTAAGAAAGATAAGTCTTTCAATCATGTATTAGATGTTTATAGCCGATACTCAAAAATATTTTACCGTGTACTGTAACCTTTGACAAAGACAACAGTTTACAGCCTGAACAATGCTTACATCACAATTGAAATCACCTATAATCAAAAATGTTCACCAACATATTCATAAGCTGGACATAATACATCCTTAAAAGACAAAGGTTTCGACCTCAATGAAATTTAATTTCTCTCGTACCGCTGATATTTTTTACAAAAAAGTGTAAGGATCTTCGCCCTCGTTCTCGCAAGAATTAACGTAATACACTGTGCAACATGGTATTATGTAATTTAGCTCATTCTGAAAATACGTCAGTCTACCACAACAAGGATTAACGATCATAATATGTTCAAAAATTTACATACACACCTTTTTTTAATACAACAAAAACATTGTAATAATGGTTTTCCTTTAAAGAAAAACGAATGAAAGCATAGCTACGAAAAAGCTGATGATCGAATTCCCCATAGAAATAAGACAATAACCACATGCTAATTAAAGATGAATAATCAAAGATTTATTTATTGATATGTTTGATAATACAGCAATAAACAAAGAAATGAGATTCCGTTTACTTGTGTTATCGAAAAACGAAGACAGAAAACTTTTTTTAATTTGATCAGTACAATAAGTTATTTATGCTTTTTTTTAATTTCAGATGAGAAAAGAAACAACAAAGCCACCAGAAATCAATTGTTTGATAGAATGTGAAGAACAACTTTGATAGGAAAAAATGATTTCGCGAGTGTAATTATTGTCGATGCATAATCATTTCAGTCCTGATTCGATTAGCTATAGATGTTACAGTTTCCTATCGAAACTCATGCAAATGAACCTTGAAGGTAATAAACAGTATAAACTGAACATACAATTCTACTTGGTAATGAAATGTATCAGAAAGAAGATTGAAGAAATGATAACTCCTGGAACTACTTTATGGATTACTATTATTTACATATTTATTTCATAATCACTTAATGACTGAATTACTATGTTTATATATTCCCTTTGTCGTAAGCCCTTGTTTAACCCATTAACTATACTACTTTTTATTCCTAGTTTATTGCCAATAAATTATTTACAGCTTAACATATTCAAAGCGACGTCTGGCTTACTTATGATTCATTGTGATTTTTCAATTTATGGTGTGACATGGTCCAATATACATATAAACCTACGTGTGCTTGGAAATACAATTTAGTAGAAGCTGGCTGCTGAAAACTCTTCAGGCTCAAGATAAATGATACGGAAAAGCTTGCAGATAGCCACTAATGAAAGCTTAGTTTGGATGGGTTTTAAGGTTAACTATGCAGGTTAGGACATATAATTAGTCATCTAAGGGGTCAGCTTATGAACAGAATGGTAGACGCGAAATAGAAAAGTTTCAATTAAAATTCTGATTGGTGAATTAAACACGTAATACCAACCGGCGTTTCAAGTTATGACATAAAATACTCCCTCCTTTTTAATTTTAGCATCATAATAACATGGAAGTGACAGATATGTCTGATTCCACCTATGAAAACGGTGACCATAATGTTAATTAGTAAGCGTGAGAGGAAGGACGTTTATTCTTAAGAGGTAACCACCCAGTCGTATTGGTAGGTGATCGATTGTAAATGTTGTGACAACTTCAACACTTGAACTAAACTATTTAAGCCACAGATTAGATTGTCTTTGGACGAAAACAACTAACGTCAGTCGTAAAATCTTTACCTCTCTAATTCTTGATAATCGTTTTACTAAATATTATTCAAAAACTTTTAGTGCAATGAAATTAACTTTTGTTCTGACAGAATGTGCCTGAATGTGAATAACGAGTCAATTATTTCAAATTACACGACTTGGCAACACTACATATTAGTCGAAACCATCCATCATTCTATAAGCGATAAATAACAATCTAAGAACGAAGTAAATTAGCTCAGGGTCTTGACAGTTATCTCAAACCATGGAAACTATACCTGACACATGGTACGAGTAAAAGGAGTACGGTGATGTTAGATATAGATGTTTACGATACAACTCATGTCTCAACACCGATTGCCAATACCATTTACAACTATCTCGATAAAGTAACAATATCTTCGGGAGTAAAAGTTTTAAACGCTGAATTCCATCTCAAGAGCAATCGACCACGTTAAAAATCAGTAGTTATATCTTTAAAACAATGTGAATTTTAGCGTTAGCACATACAGAAATTATTAATAAAATAGCAAACAATTACGTCATTCTACTAAAATAAAATCAGTAGTTTGCAAATTTTTAGTAAAAATACACCACGCCATTTCTAACTTACAGAACATATAGCTTTCAGCGGAATCAGAAACTAAACAAATGTGCATGGAAAACAAATATAGGAAATCAAAACAAACTAAGAGAGTATTTAGCTCAAATGTTAGGCTGTTATAACGAGCAATCAAGGTTAACTACGCATGGCAATATATAAAAAGGATTAGAAACATTGATGTAAAGCCGACCATCTCCAGACAGATGTATTTACATCCGTTCATCGGTAATCAAGCAATTATTGCTTGGTTTGCAAAGAAAGTAAAAATTTTAATGGTTAGGTCTAAAGAAAACTCAAAAACAAAAACAGGTCGCTTCGATTGAACACAGAACCATTAATTAATACAGTATTTCTACTTACTTTAACAACAGTACACAAGCATTTACCATTTTTGGAAAGAATTATCATGTGCTTGATTTCTATAAGTCAACCTATTTCCCTAAACAGAATAAAAATCATTATTTAATCAATTTATAGCGTAGTCAGAGAATACATTGAGGAAATCCTTTTGACTTTTTTCAATTTACTCCTTACATAATACTCAGATTAAAGTTTGATATCAACAGGATCGATCCGTAGGAAGTAGGATATTTCCCAGTCAACTCCATCAAGATTCGCTAAGATAATGCAGTATAAAGCATAAAGAACTGTGGTAGATATATTGCACCAGAAATATATCAACCGAAGAATTAAGCAGTGTGAACCATTTGCATTCTTTTCTCGTCACTTATGAAAACAGTTAAACAGTGTACTATCGTAAACAAAGGTTGTGACCCTAAAGATATGATTTCTTCTAGATCACAGAACATGGACCAATATTACACCATATTTTGGATCTGATCACTAAATACATTTTTTAAATATTGTTAACGAAATACCTGTAAAACAATTAATAACAAATTGAAATGATGAAGACCAACGTACAATATACTCATACTAATTCACGCTAGAAATCTGTGAACAGGTAACAGGTGATATTAAGGACATGAATCAGTAGGATGTGTGATTTTTAGTAACTGTAAGCCCTCAAATGTTTATATGGTAAATAACTTCAAATTATGTTTGCTCGTTATCTATATTTTATAAGAAAAAAACTAGTAATTGTTTCGCTTTTTCTTTAGGATTGATTCTTTTACGGTTTTAAGTAGACAAATATCTTTTTAATAGTCACTAATGTATTTCAACATCTCAGCTGAATTCCCAGTTGTCACAATATTTCACTAAAGAGGATTTGCAGTGATTCTTAATTTTTGGCTAACATTTTCAGCATTAAGGTAGTGAACGTTACTAATAACCAATCGATGAAATCTAGTAAACAAATATATGTTTACCTACTCGTTTTCGGACCACACTTTATAGCTGAGAATTAACATTTCGAGTTGGTTGCTTGAACTAAACTAGGTAAAACAGATTAAAGCTTGTTATTTAGTGCTGGAAAGTGGAGTGTTATGACTAATGAGTCTGTGCTTAACACATTTATCTTTATGCGAATGAGTATAAAAAATGAAGAGTTATTCATGGTAAGATAGACAGATCAAGCGGAGAAATAGGAAGAATAATCCTCTGTTCTTTTGATTAATGAAACCAAAACTCAAGAAGCAAATAAATAAATCGAATACTAGAAAAAGACATCATAGACTGTTTTATCAAAATATTGAGGACTCAAACGATTATTGTTTTGAGAATTTATGTTGTACATTGTTAAGTCTATCGCATTCTCGATACTTTTAGGTTTCCCTTAATAGATTTCCTATAGCTGTATTGACCGAGGATTCCGATGAGACCATAATTTATAGACGACATTTAAGTGACGCTAAAGTGACCTTGAGAATGTCTACCTACTTACTAAGAATAAATGAGGGTTGTAAAATAGTTTAAAGAATAAGGGTTATGATTCACAGTTGATAGTTAGGAACTAGATTTATGAGTTTTTATCACGAACTTACATTATTTAAAGTACCAAAACGCAATTTAGACAAATGGGTGGATTAATTTAGCACCAAAATCCAAGACTTGTTATCCTAAATCTGATTGGCTCGTCCATAAATTATAGCCCTGCCAAAATCTCCGCTGATTTTCTACTTCTTGAAGTCATATCACTAAGTATTTACAATTGATTGATCCCTGGATAGTGACCAATGTCATGTGTGTCAAGTCCTTCTTAGTACAAATCGAATTCTACTGATCAGATTGCCATGTGGTCATTGGGATTGAGTCCGCCAGTGAGCATCAGTTCCTTCAAGATTACAGGTACACCTTGCTAACAAGTGCCAAACAGCACGAAACCTAGGTCTAGGGTTTGCTACCGACTACCTCTAACCACTACCCTACATATAACTAAGTGTTATACTTAACTGTTGTGTAAATAGAACAAACAGCATTTCTCATTTTAGATGGTACAGAAAATGATCACTAGGAAGGTAAGCTAGAAATCGCTTGTTTGGGATCCTACCAGAATTGACAATCTATTACTACCTGAAGGCGTTCATTGTTACAATTCAACCTATTAACCAAAGGTAATAAAAATAGAACTAATGTTTATAAGTATCTTCACTACAAATAGTTCTTGAATAAAACATCAAATATGTACACATTGAGTTAACAAGTATCATAAGAGGATGTGAAATAACTATCTGATATCCACTATTAGTTAGTCTCGCGAAAAATAACACAAATTAAAACAAAGCATACTATTAAACCACATAAATAATAAGTTTAATAGTTTGCTTTGTTGAACTGAAACAATTTTATCAAGGGAAATAAGCTACAAAATAAATTGATCTACATCAAAAACACAAGTTGTCTACACTTTAAGGATAAATTAATCTGACAAAATGTTATATTTAAAATATACAAGAATAATATTGTAGACGAAGTATACCTCTGCATCTGGAAATGATAAACCATATCGATCAGTCATTGTAACTTGAGAACCATTGATTACATCTGGAATTTCAGAAAAAAGAACATTACGAAAAATTATTGTACATAAAACTTATAACAGACTACAAGGACTCGAAAATGTAACAAGTTTGTTAGTAAAAAATCTGACGATGACTGGTAATAGAATCGCTTTACAAAACACAAGTAGAAAAACCCTTTTAATCCAACATATCAGCCATCACTTTATTTGATAGGATGTTTTACATTCCTCTTGTAGATTATGTGATCAGTGTAATTGAATACAAATATCTGAAGAAATGGGTGCTTCGTACAAATTTATTGAGGAAAAATGTGATTAATATTATTTCTGAATTGATGAAATAATCTTTAATTCGCCTTTTCTGTGTACTGTTAATTTTTCATGAGTAAACATTTTTAATCACAATTAATTACAGTAACGTAGCAACTAAGTGAAAGTTCGTGTGCTCTGTGTTCGATTATATTTTGTGTGAGAGCTAGTGATTCTATCTAATTACCTAAAAGAGGGTGGGGTAGGGTCTAAATCATAACTTAATAGTTAGTAGGCGATTGATTTTGTAGTCAAACCACTAAACTACTTTAAGTCATAAAACGGTTATACTCACAAGCAGTTGACGAGGTTCAAGTTTAACGTTTGTTGGTGGTATTCAGCTTTTTCGTTTGTTTTAGTATACCATTTTGCCACCTTATTTCTAAAAAATACTGTAAATTTCATTATATACAAATAACTGTACATCTGATCAATATTCTCCGGTCAATCTAGCAAATAATTCTACTCAACATATAACTTCTCCCGCTGAAATGCCGAGGGCTAAGTGAGAAAACGAAGAAGATATCTCCCATTTGTGAACAATCATCACAACGTAAATCCTGGTACGTACGTACATCAGTTCGAGTTGCCATACCCCATTAGGACAGAGAAATGAAGTTGTCAGGTCAAATCTCAGAATAGTAGAGGCATCGAAGATATGACTCGAGAAAATATAAATTAGTGAAATGAAAATAAATAAAGGTTATGAGGAATTTGGAATCTCAGAGTTTGGAGAAAGACAAAAAACAAATTCATCTGCTCCATTACAAAAGATTTTGAGCCATGTCATTTAAAGTCTATGACCATTGGTTACGACAATCACGCTGATCCCGATCAGGTAGTCCATATCTATTGACATGGTTAGGTTCACTTGTCATTGACGTCATGGATTGATGGCATATTTTGGTTTGGCTACCCCTAGCTTCCTTCCAACCAGCTCCTACGCCATAAAAAGTCGCCCGTCAAGTTAGGCGGTGGTTGGAAATACGTAAGACATGTCCCAAACACCTCACTTGATGAAAATTTGCTACCTCTTCAATCGATTTGCCATCCTTAACTTGGACTTTATTCCCAACCCAGGCACTGCTTACTCCGTGGTCCCAAAGTACACAGACGATGCTTCAAGGATATCTATGACTGGATGCCAGTGACCTATGAATATCCTCTTCTGAATGGCCATGTTCCACATCCATAAAGTAGAGCGGAGAGAACTGCTGCACAGCAAACTCGTCTATTGGTTGGCAGACGGATATGTTGCCTACACCACAAGTGACTCGATTCAGCAAAAGCCAGTCGAGCCTTCTGAATCTATGTTGAGATTTCGTCAAACACAAGACCATCAGCACTAACTAGACTCCCGTGATAAGTGGAGCAATCGATGCGTCCAACCACTTCACTTCTTATCAATAGCTCATCCAATGACGCAACCCAATCCTGAAGTAATATTTTACATTTGGAGGGAGAGAACCGTATCCCAAACACACTTCCATTGTTGCTTAAGGTGATCATAAAACTCTGCATTTAGTCACAGCCTTCACCAAACTAAACCACTTCATATGGCCTGATTATCAAAATAATCAGGCCATCCAAAATAAATATTTTTTAAATATGCACACTTTGATCTTCGAACAAAAACAAAATACATAAAGTTCAAGAAAATAACCAGACAATATGAAACAGAACATTCATAACTACTGGGAACAAACTAACACTTCATGGTCAAGAAAACATATAGTTTAGAAACAGACTCGGCAATTACTTTAAAGGTTAATTTTATCTAAAAATCTCATGTTAGTAATCTTATCCTAGTATGAAAGCAAAAGAAACTATATCAAATAACCAAACAAAACAGAAAATACAGAGCTTACAGAACTACGTTAAATTATTGGTATGTAAAAAAGAACAATAAAAGTAAATAAATAAACGTACTTGAGGCTAGAAAACCTTTGACCAATGCTTGAGACATATTACCAGATCCCATAAAACCGTAATGTTTGGAAGCCAGAATAATTTTTATATCAGCAGACATTGCTTTATGATTACCCCAAAAATGAAATATGAGAAAACTTTAAATAATTAAAAGATAGTCAAAAATACAAAGCATAATATGTCGACATACATACTTTTAAAAGTTCTTACACTATACAAAAGGACGATTAACATGTAAGACTTGCCATAACGTTTAGTATGGATAACATTTTTGAAGAGATAAGATTTTTTAACAATACAACAATTAAGCAACATCATGTGGATGAATGAATGATCAAGCAATTCTGAAAACTGATTAACTACTAATAATCGCTAGTTTAATCAATTTAGCGTATATCACCAAAGTGTGTGCATCTGTCGAAAAATGATTTATGTAATTATGTTTATCGTATACATATATACGGATCAATAAACAAATCATGTTTTGAACGAATATGTATGGATAAAAAGAAATCATTGTCCAAGGTCAATTGTATTTGGAATCAATGACGTTTTTTTATTAATGATACAATTAAATCATTACATACATACACATTAAGTCACTACAAATAATGATACATAGAAATGAAATATTATTGATCGACATAGCCATTTTCAAACTGTCTAAAAAATCTATGATTTTGAAGAGTTTTGAGCACATTCTGCAAATGGATGTTCATCAACAGAATTTTGCTTCTAGAAATTCTAATCCTGGTTGAGTACTTTAACCTAATGATGAGAAGTTTGTAGTCAGCTGTGATAAAATCAAGTCAATATCATTCCCGTTTCGGGATAAAATCCTTCCAGTAAAATTTTTCCAATATAGCTCAATGTTCTAAACATATGTGAATAAAAGGTTCTTTTAAAAAATATTATCCACAATGATTACGATCATTGTGAACTACAAAGATTTTACTCAAAGTACACATCGCTCAAAGTGTTTCATAAATAATCTGTAAAGGCAAAAAAACGTGATTCAATAAACATTTAAGGTCCATAGAGTACAAATTTCGGTAAGATTTAAAGCGGTTATGACACATCGATAATGGCTGAAACGTCATTTTAAATCTAGAGATACTACGATCCTTTTCCACGATACCGACCAACCCAGTGAGGACTATTTATGTACCTTTAAATTTACTTTGGGGGCAACAAACTCCAAAACGTACACATTGGTTTTAAAACTTCCGATTTTATCCCTAATAGTTGAAACAATGTCGATGTTCCATCTTAACCTTTGACTTTATTGTCCTACCAGATCATTTTTAGATGTTAGTAAACTGAATGAGTTCGTAAATAATGAAAACAAAAGATATAGAACCAAAAAGTAATTTATGAAGTCAAACAGGGGGCTTTGTTAACAGGAAAGTAAAACGAAACATTTCTTAATGAAGATACACAGAAAATGACTTCATGCACCTTGTTAATATAGATTTCCAGTTAGTACCCTTAAAAGATATATTCGCGATCACGTCAAATTTAGATAATGTCCTAAAAGCCTCTTAACAACAGGATTAATCCATAGAAACTGAATGAACGATTGTTTTAAAACCTGAAACATGGAAGACGTAGACGCTCTTTATTCACGAATAATATCAAGACTATCAGACAAAATCATTTGGTTGTTGGGGATATTATTTGTGCGAGTGAACTAATCAAAACATTTGAGTGGAAGAATGTGATCCCCCGATATTCACTAAATATTTACATCCAGTATCGCAGACTAAAGGGTGATCTAGTGATCTAGTTGCATCAATCCCTTGCCTTCCGTCAGCTTTAAAATTCCTAACTTCCCATTCTTGTCTTGGTTGTTCGTTTTGAACCGTAGTTTCTAGCCCTAGATTTCCACGAAAGTTGAAACTAACTTCTTTTGTTTTTCATATTAATTTCCTACTCCCTCCTTTACTACAAGGTGTGAGGACTTGGATGCTCATCCTTGCTAGGTTTTCAGCCGATGAAAATCGACTAAATGTCAAGTGTCGGTTGTGTTAAGTTTCCGTAAAGTGTAAGTAGCATTATGGGTCTCCAAAATTAGATTGGAATATTACAAAAACTACAGAAAGATTGTGTAGACCACAGGTATGAAGCTATTTAATCTTAGATCAATTTTCCACTGCTTCATTACGTTCCCAACGGTTTTGTATTAAATTTCGATTTCCGGTCATTCGCACCACACCGACCAGTTCAGCTGACCCTTTTGCAAGCCAAAAGACAATTATATACTGAATAAACCCCGATTTATATTATATTTATTAATTTGATCAGCAGTTGATTATGTAGTCGAATGATTAGCCTACACTACAGAAAACAGCAGAAATAAGTAAAAACCCAGAACGATTATCCATAATTAATTATCTACAATCTTGGATTGACAGGAAATCAATTAATGGATATGACAAAGATATACTACGACAAGATATTTGGGAAATACTGACTTTGTCACCGTCATCTCGAGAAACAACTTTGCACAACGCAATATTAAAGCTGGGGAAAATAACCCTCGGTCGATGTAGTTGAACTTCACCGGAATTTTAAGAAAACTACAAGAAGCTTTAGGCACCTATGGGCGAAGTGAGTATTGTAAGCTTTCCAATGTGTAAATAACTTCAAAAACATCCTATTCACGCTTCAAATCTTGCTGTTCCGACTCAATACAATCGGCTATACACTAGGCGAACGTGAAAACACCTATGCAATACACTATATTGGTATATCAATATGTAGAACAACAACACTCTCCACCCAACTCAAAACAGTACCGCAAGCCAACAATAGGTCATTTGCGCGATTGACCTTCAGACTTATCAGTCTTCAGTAATAAGGATAGGAGGTCTATCGACCTGTATTAATCCTTGCAGTTTGTAATACTGTGGAGGTCCAATCTCGTCTTGAATATATCAACAGAAGGTGCTGATATTACGTGTTCCGGTAGAGAATTCCAATAATTCACTACTCGATGAGAGAAACGAAACTACAGACGTAAACGATTTGATCTCGGTTTTTTGAATTTTTTCTAGTGTCCTCTCAAACGATCAGTCCTAGACGGAAGTAAAAGATAGGACATGTTAATACCAAGGTCATCGTTCAGTATACGATAAGCCAATATTAGATCACACCGTATTCGATGGTAAGATAACGGAAATAAGTTGAGGTGTCTCAATCTGTCTTCATAAGATAGTCCAGATAGACCTTGTACCATCTTAGTACCTCGTCGTTGGACTCTTTCCAACATATCTGCTCCATACTTAAAACAAGGACTCGCTGCTTGAATTCCATATTCTAAATGTGGTCGCACATAAATAGGGTATAGTAATCTAAACATTTCATCATCTAAATACTGAAAAGACCTACTAATAGACCATAATATACTATAGCCTTTCGCAGCAGCAGCCTTACAGTGACTAGTGGTTTTGAGATCACTAAATATGACTCCCAAATCTTTATAGTTTCTTACTTTGGGCAGTATGAATCCACGTATTTTATAGTGATACGATTCATCATTGTTATTTAATTGCATCACCACACTCTTATTAGGATTTACTTCAAGTGACCACCTGTCCAACCATGCCACCAATGAGCTAAGATCATTCTGTAATACTATTCTATCCGACATATTGTGTATGGGTCTCCAACTTTTTATGTTATCAGCGAATAGTAAAACGGATGATTTTGTTACAGTTGGTAATTCATTTACATAAAGTGAAAAGAGAAGAGGACCGAGGATTGTGCCTTGGGGAACTCCGCTCTTTACAGGTACCCACGAGGAAAAAGCCCCATTAACCCTTACCCTTTGTCTCCTGTCATGGAGAAAGTTACTTATCCAATCTACGACTGTATAATGGATTCCGAAGCGTTCCAGCTTTAAGACCACAATGGGAGGCCTTATCGAAAGCCTTACTTAGATCTATGAAGATCACATCTACAGGAATACTCTGATCATTTGCAGCAGCCAATCTTCTATTGCAATGAGAAGATTTGTCAAGCACGACAGGCCTCTCCGAAAACCATGTTGTTCCCTGGAGAAAAGATTATGCTTTTCAACATAGTTTATAACAGATATTCGGATGATTTTTTCCATCAGTTTTACAACTGCACTAGTTAAGCTAACGGGTCTATAGTTACTAACTAAATCCCTACTCCCAGCCTTATACACCGGACTTATTATAGCGTCTTTCCAGTCTTTGTGCAGTCTGGACTGCTTCAGAGACGTGTCAAACAGTATCGCTAAAGGTTCAGCAATTACATCTGACATGGCTTTCATAATCCTAGGATGAATATTATCAGGACCACTGGACTTATCAGGTTTGATATGCTGAAGTAGCCTTAAAACAGTACCTTTCTCAATGACCACAAGATTCATCAGCGAGCCGTTACGATCAGAATGAATCGTTGGTCGTACCTCATTAGTGATAGAAAACACTTTACTAAAATATTCCGATAAAGCCTCAGCTTTTTCGGTATCATTTTCTGCCAAGATTAACGGATTTTCTTGTATCGAAAGTGATGGAATTCCATCATTTCTCTGAGTTCGCCTTTTTATGCACGAGAATAAACGTTTCGGACTATATCTAGAATCCCTAGCCAATTGCTTTTCGTATCATCGTCTAGTCTTACTTATTAAAGCTTTACAGGAATTCCCAGCCTTACAATAACTGGATCTGTATTGTTCTAAGCCAGTAGAGATGAACATATTCCAGTGCTTCTTCCTTCTTCTAAGAAGTTTCCTAACTGGTTTGGTTATCCATGGTGGACTATTTTTCGGTCTTCGCGGTACCAGGTATGGTATGAACGAGGACGTAACTAAACTAAACTTACCTTTAAATGCAGACCATGCTTCTTCAACTGATAAGCTAGTACCTACAAACCAATCTGTCTTAGCAGCGCATTCCTGAATGGCTGATATGTTAGCTTTCCATACATTTGAGCGGGGTGTGACCTGATCGTATAACATGTTCTTAGTTCTAAACGAGAATGACGAAACAGCGTGATCACTGTTCACTAATGGTGGGATAGCATTTAGGTCGAAAATATCTTCAGTATCATGGGTGATTACCAAGTCCA